GAAGCACTGGAGCGAAGGATTCTCATCTCTCAGTGACGATGTAAACAATCAAACTCTCCGTCAGATGAGGCATACGAAGCATGATGGGACAGCCAGTGACGGTGTTACACTTGCCTTATCAAGATCCCCAAATACGTCTGGACAAGCGATGTAGAAATCCCGTATTGGCGATGTTACTGGAGTGCTTCAAGATGTTGGGCACGGTTATGCTAACCTCTCTTCCCTTTAATCCCGAGCTGCCTACTTTTAGTCAATATCCACCACCTCTTCGACGCATATATGCGCCATCATTCTAGAGGTCGCCTGTATAGTAATTTATTTCATTGCTGGTATTACTTAGTTATGCGCAACGTCCACCAGCTATGTCGAGAAGCATCTCTTGCCATTGGATTATAAGAAGGAGGCTGACACAGTGAAGATGTTTCTTCATTTAAGTCGGTATGACCATGGGTCAGCGTATAGGCAAACAGGGAATCGAACTATGTTTAGTAAATTGTTGTGTTAGAGCATTTTTTATCTAATATTGTTAAATGAGTTGTTAATGCTGCTGGAAATCTTTATGGCATTTCTGTATTCATTTTGCTTTCAGTATTTTCAGATGTTGCTTTCGTATGTTATTTTCGAGTTCAGACTTATTTGAATTTTTTAGACTAGCAGATTTATGGGGTTTTACGCACCGCCTACACCAAACCACGGATTTTTCGAAACAGGATCTTCGGTTTATGGTGGTATCATCACTGATCACGATGCAAGTCCAACTTGTTCGAGCAAAAATTTTTATATACCGCAGCATAATCTTGCTTTTCATTGGCAGCGACCTGATATGGTACCACATACAGTGAATTTCCCACGTCTGTTAACGCGCTTTTTGGAGAAGGGCCGCAGTGACATATGGTGCCGACCTGTAGGACATTGGCCATATGAAGTCTGCAGAAGTCAGTTAAGAAACAGAAATTTGCTGGCAGTATCTGTGGAGGACTCGAACATGCCAGTGAGGCTGTGGGCCGTGGATGAGCTTTCACCTAGAAAACAATTAGTGGAATTTCGTTTGCGCCTCAAAAGCCGGAAAGGATTTGAAAAATGGGTGATAGCATCAGAGGACAGTGATGAAGAAGCAGACGACATTTATGGTTCCGCAAGAATGGCGTCGGAAACAGTGTCTCAGCAAGTCTCAGGTTCCTGTCATGATGAAACTGATGTTACTATGGTAAAGAATTCCAACGGCCGAAGACACCGCCACGTGCTGAACTTGAAAACACCGTTATTAGAACTGCGTTCTTGGAAACGGAGAGATCGGAGATGTCAGATCTTGGCTCGAGGCGAAAAAGAGCTGTATCTCTGTGATACGGATGAAGGTGTTGCATGGACACTGTTCACGGATCCGGTGCTTTCTCTCTCTGTAGTACCGCACATGAACGATGAAATTGTATTTCTTGATGCTGCTAGTCAAATATGGTACGGAAAAGTTGGCGAAAACTTCAATCGAGTCAAATGCGGCCATGCCATTGAGGTTTGTCTTCATATTACTGCATTTTCACAAAAAAAAAATCGCAATTTTTCATGGGTATTTTCTGCTATTTTCTAACATTATTTTCCCATTCCCCCATAAATTTCAAAATGGCTCTGCACTTCATTTTGTTTCACGCAAGCAAGTACTACTTGCTTAAGCCATTTGTAAACGATCCGTTATGAGTTGCGACTGCTACGCTTCGGCTCGACTTGACGGCTCAACATGCACTCACTTTTGGGTCGGGTTCGAGTTTCGAAGGTCGTATTGCCAGGTTTTTGTCTAGGTGAATTTCTAGACGTCCCGTTGAAAAATGCTAATTTTCTCTCAAGACTAGTTTTCATGAGTACAAAAAACCCATTCCTTCATAATCCCTGCCTTTGTGTCCAGTTCCTGCCACCATGCAAGGTTTCAGTTCCTTTTCTGTCATCAACTCCTCCTCAGCCTCTTTCCCCAGTCACTATAAATTGCTTGTCAACCCCGCCGAGCTAGGTCAGCCGAGTTTTTAATAGTTGCATGTTGTAAGAGAAGGCGAAGAATTCAAATATTTTTATTTTTTTTACATGTTAGAAAAATGAAAGTTTCCGTCTAGGGGTTTTTTTTGTTATAACAGAGTTCAGTGAATGCTTTCATTGACTTTGTTAGAGATTACTTTAGTTTTGTCAACTGCAGGGAAAAAGGGGTAGTTCGAGGAGAAGGTGGTTACTAGTTGCAAGGAAAAAAAATTTTATAACTAGGGCGATAGTAGTGGCTTTAGTTTTGACGAAATGCTTGATTAGTTCTCTCTATTGATACTAATTTGAACCTGTAGCTTTTAGTATTTTACCTTCATATGCAGCACTTCATTATATTAACAATTTTGAATATTTTCGATGCTTTTTCCATGAATAATTTTTGGCTTCACAGTTTTGCCGGTGCTCTGTTGCAGTCAGTTGCAAGCTCTGATCATCCTCGTTTGGTATATGCAGCAGGAAAGGACAATGTCTCACTTATTGATTTAAGAGATGGGACTTCAAACGGTTAGAGCAGCTCTGTTCAACATTATATTTCAGAGCTACAGAATATTTTTTACATAATTTTAATCCAACATTCTATCCAGCTGTCGTTTTACTTTACCGCATAGGGATTGTTAATGCAGCTAAAACTTTTCCATAGTATGTGCAACCCAAATTGCATCACCGATGGTCAGCCTGTTGTTAGTCTTGGTACTCCTGTTCGTTTTCTTTTTTTCGTCGTTTTGAAGAAAAATGCTGGGGTCACCTCCATTACCACATCTTTGGCCCTTTAGCACAGTTATTGTTGATGTTTCCCACACTTTACAACGGCTGCAGTCTTGATTTTGTATGGACTTCTTTGTAAAGAAGCCGAGATAGGGAATGACTATATGATACTGAAATCGTTTATTACTAAAAGTGCTAGGACTGCTCGGACTGTCAGTGGTGGGTATCTTCTGTTAGTGATGTTAACTAGGTTGCTCCTACACTCTGAGCTCAGCTATGCCATGACCCTTCGACCCTGGGTTACATACCTCCGATTAGTATCCACCGCTTGTTCTATGTATGTGCGCCACCTCTTCGGGGACCGCTCGAGTGGTCGTTTACTTCCCCGAAAGAACTGCTTACTAATGCGCATTGTTCACCGGTTATCGACAGAGCAAGCAACTTATCCGCCCATCGGATTTTATTTCCGAAAGGAAAAGTAAAAATTCGGATACAACAAAAATTTATTTAATCCTTAAATAGGTAATGGCGTAGTACTGATGTTTCAGAATACTCAATGTTCGCGCGCAGAAACGTTTTTGCTTTTATCTCCGGGCTAGCTCTAACAAATTTCAGGGGAGACACTTTACACTGTGCCTGATTTCGACGACACCTCACGCAACTCCTATCAGTATCAGTATGAGGCTGCTTTTGAACGC